TTAACGTCATGCCTCTAGCTTCAGCTTCAGAAATGATGGGCGTTCCAAGTATCATATCTTTCTCCAAATAAATGTCTACCCAGCCACACAGTTCCAGTGAAACAACCTCAGAATGTTTTCAGATTTCCCAATGAACTGTTGGAATTTGGTCATGAATCCTCATAGAAATGTCTTTCCTTTTGTTTCCCCTGGATAGAAACAAATGGAAGTTGGAAGCTGTCATTTCCTCCGCTAAGCAGGCAACAAGCTTCTCCCTCATTAGCTGAGGGTGACAAAGAAATGGCTAGCGATTTAGCTGAACAATGATCAGACCTAGCTGCATTGTTCCTTCAAAGTCAGATCCACAGTTGGGGGGTGGGGGGGGGACGACGCTAAATCCTCCGCGTTAAAACAAAGGGTTCAGACAAAGATAAGACACCTGAGCTTGCTCAGCCAATGCACTTTCGGATTGGTTCGGATATTGTCCAATAGGAAAGAAAAAGCGGGGTCACCTAGTTGCAACACTTTATGCTTGTCCAATCAGATGAGAGTACTTTGGAGCCCTCATTTAAATATAAAGATGACAAATAACCCTGCCTTCACCGTATCCCTGTTCGTCTGGGTGCAGCCAGTGCAGCAGGATGCCGGAGCCTTCCCGCTCCACTCCCGCCCCAAAGAAGGGCTCCAAGAAAGCCATCACCAAGGCGCAGAAAAAGGATGGCAAGAAACGCAAACGGGGCCGCAAGGAGAGCTACTCCATCTACGTGTACAAGGTGCTGAAGCAGGTGCATCCGGACACCGGCATCTCGTCCAAGGCCATGGGCATCATGAACTCGTTCGTCAACGACATCTTTGAGCGCATCGCCAGCGAGGCCTCCCGCCTGGCGCATTACAACAAGCGCTCGACCATCACGTCCCGCGAGGTGCAGACGGCCGTGCGCCTGCTGCTGCCAGGGGAGCTGGCCAAGCACGCCGTGTCCGAGGGCACCAAGGCAGTCACCAAGTACACCAGCTCAAAGTGAGGCGCGACGAGAGCGCCCCCAACCCAAAGGCTCTTTTCAGAGCCACCTTCCAAGCTCAAAAAAGGAGCGTGCTACCTGACTAAGATTGTCATTCACTTGATAAACATTGGGATGGAGGGGGGAAGGGAGGGAGGAGTTGTACTGGACCTTGGGACCCTGAGATAATTACTCTTGTTCATAACGGTACATTAATAAATTTGTCTGATTCAATTTTGGCCACAGAATGTAGTTTAGTAGATGGCTCCTGGGGAAATTTGGCATGCGTTGCGCGGTTGGAGGGAGGGGGCTGTGTCAGCAATAAGATTCTTCTCCATCCTCCCACCCTCTCCATTCCCCTCCCCCTGCAGGGTGCTCTGTGAGGCTCAGAGTGCTGCGCTCTCAGCACTGATGCTTTCGGAGCCATCTTGCTCTATCCCCTTGTCAGGATTAAAATCTTCTGGCCCAAAACAGTTTAAGCAGGTCTTCTATTGTATTCTGTTCAAAATGCCTATCTCGGGGATGCACAGCTCCTGTTCTCCAACCTTACCTAATTAAGCAACAATCTCGCCGGGGAAGATTCTGGTATTTTATCCATAGATGAATTTAAACAATGAAAGATCCTTTTGTTTCATCAAAATGTGTGCGTGTGCATGAGAGTATATATCATCTAAATGTGTGTATATAGTAACAACTCTAGTAAATGGTGAAACATCCTTTAAAATTAAATAGAATCTTTAAAATAACAACAAAAAGCTACGTACAATTGAATTCAGTGTAGGTTGCATTAAATGAATGAGGCTTGCAAGAATAGTCCAAACTATCCTTCCTCTAAAATTCAACTATCAGTGGTTCTTCCCTGTATGTCGGAGAAGCCCATCTTCCACGAACTAGTTGCCCCGGGTTCTGATTACACGTTGGTTTCACTGGTGAACAATGGCGGTCTTCCTCCTCACACCACCTGCAACAGCAGCCACTCATTTGTCAACATTTAACCTCTTACTGTCTCACACAGGAAAGGCAAGTCTTTCTATTGGTACTTTCTTCTTAAAGAGACAGGTTTTTTTCACTCGCTCAAAATTCTTGGTTGGTTCCCTAATAATTAGCCAATTGGTTTTGAACATCTAGTTGAGAGTGGGAAATAACTGTCTCATTGTTCCAGACTGTGTGCCTGCAAATCCCTCATCTCTGCCTCCCCAACCTCACTAACATTAAGTTTTTCAGGTCCAGAAAACTAGCCATTTGCATTGTCCTAATTCTTAACGATTGTAGATTCTCGTATCTGTTGTACCCTCCTTACATTCTCCAATTTTTCAATTTCACCAGACCATTCCTTTTTTTCTCTTATAACATGAAACTAGAGACATTGCTTTTGTATACAGTTGCTCTCAGTTTTCTATATTATAAAATCTCAACAGCAGAAACAAATTTCTACATTTCTTTGTCTACTCCTTAATATTCAGATTCTACAAAAGGACAGCTCTTCCCCCTATTCTAAGCTGTGGCTGCCAAAGTAATACACCTGGGCAGCTTTTTCTGAACTTCCAGCTTTTCTTTAAAAAAAAAAAAAGTCCATTGCATTACTGACAACTATACATGTATTGTTAGAGAATTAATTAAACTTAGAAATTGTGTGCCTGATTTGCTCATTGCTTTTTCCCCCTCCTCTTGGTACTAGACAATGTTTAGGCTCCTCTTTGTTCTGGAGGGAAAGGTTCCATTTTATTAAAACCATATATGTACTGTACTGGGTCTAGAAGAAGCAACTGTAAATAGCCCTTTAAAATTGGATGCTTGGCTCTGGAGTTAAGAATGCATATAGCTATTGTAGAAGACCTTGGTTCAGTTCCTAGCACCCACATGACGGCTTTACAGTCATCAGTTACACTAGTTCCAAGGGATCTGACTCCTTCCTATGACCACCTCTTCTAACTTCTGCACAAATTCAGTGCACATAAATGCAGGAAAAACTGCTCATCGTCAAAATTAAAAAATGAATAGATAGTGCCAGGGGCTGGCCATGCAGTCCTGTAGTAGCAAAAGTCCCAGAGGCCTTGACTGTCACTTGGCATCAGCTCACAGAGGAACACATTCTATCTTTTTTGAGCGTAAATCCTGTTTGTGTTTTATTTGGTGACAGGGTCTCATTATGTAGCTCTGGATAGCCTGGACCCTGATATGCAGACCACACTGGTCGTGAGCAAACAATGATCCACCTGCCTCTGTTTCTCCCAACTGCTGCCATTACAGGACTATGCCACCATGTCTGGCTTTCAAATCCTCTATTTTTGAAACCATTAAAAACACTGACAGAGTGGTGGTGCATACCTTTAATAACAGCATTCAGGAGGCAGAGAAGGGAGATCTCTGAATTCCACACCAGTCTGGTCTATGTAGTACAGTCAAGCTTACATGACTACTTGACTCTAACACACACATATACTCTCTGTCTCTCTCTCTGTGTCTCTGTGTGTAAAAGAGACACACAGAGAGAGACAGACACACACAGAGAGACACAGAAAGAGATATAGAATGTGAAAGAACTGTTGACAGGCCTCTCTTCTGATGATGGATTATGATTTATATTTTCTATCATAACTAAGGAGCAATGTATTCAATAAGTCAGTTATGACAAGGCTTCCTTTACTATGTGCTTATTTCTATCTTTTTAAAAGATGTCAAATGAAAATAATGCTGTATACCACACACTGACTGCTTGTGCCTAGGAATGAATTTGAAATAATAATCCGAGCAGTTGAACAGAAGAGGACTGAGTTGCATCTTAGTGGAGAACCTTAGCTAATATTTAAGGTCTAAGATTCGAGTCTCCAGCCAACCCCCTCCTCCAGTAAACCTCAGTGAAAGACTAATTTCACTAATTACCAAAACTAAATGGTTCCTGTCTTAAATGATTCTCCTTGTGTCTTTTTATTTTTTTAATACTGAGATAACTTGGTTGGCATGTTTAAATTTGAACAGACAATTCTGGAAGCAGCAATTAGTTAAATGTAACATACATATAACTGCTGTTGGCAGAATTTGAAGCAGAAGGAAAATAAGAAAGACATTCGCAGAGAGAATAATCTGAAATATCTTTTTAAGAATTATTTTTTCCTGACTCTGGTGTTAAATTGATAAAGCAGTAGGTATTTTAAAGAATGGTTTTTTAAAAAGATTTTTAAAAAATTCCTGCTTTGTAATTTGCATCTTTGCAGTTACTTGAACTTAGGATAAAAATACTTAAGATGCTAACTTTAAAACACATGACGTTATCAAAAAACCCCTTTATGTGGACCAAGCTGGAAAGCAGAAGGTGGCATAGCTACTGTAGGAAGTTCCAGCAGACTTACCCCCCCCCCAAATGCCCAGTAGCAGGAGTCCAGATGAGAGGGGCTCCCTTTGACAACTTGGAAAAAAAATAAAATTTACATAGTATTCTGCTGGTGACGATAGGACTCTGAATATGTCTCAAGTAATTATCACGAATCCTTTTTTCATAAATAAAAGCCAAGCCAAGGAAAGTGGTGTTCTTTCCCACGGGTAAGATTTCCTGCCCAAACGTTCCCGACAAAAAATGGCATTCTCAAAATAAATGCTGTGTATGGAATATTCTTTTACTAATGCTTCACAGAAAACGCAGCTTTAGAGGAGCAACTGGCTCAAAACAACGAAATTCTTTCCCACCTCTCCCATCCCCTAACCACTGAAACTGGGCTGGCAGCTCAGGCTGGCAACATCCTAGCTCCTGCACACAGGCATTTGCGGTGTGCCGCACCTCCCCCTGCCCGCGCCCGGTTTCCAGCATACTGCTAGTGCAGGATTTATTGACATATATCAGAATGGTCGTTTTCAGGGGATAAAGATGCCTATTACAGAAAAGAATGGAAAAGGTACTAAAGGGAGTGCAGGTTCGGAGGCCACCAAGGGGGCGCACATCCAGAATACCACTGCACTGTCACCTCGCCCACCGAAGCTCCAGGCTTGGGGAGGAGACTCACGCCCATTGCCTGCTCCCGCATCCTTCACACTATATGCTTAGGAAGAGCAAAGCAGCCATTTCCCCACGTTCCTAGCTCACAAATCTGACTTGGCTGCACCGTGTCAGGGAAGGCCTCAGGCACGTGACAATCATCAGTGACCCACACTGTGTTCAAGACCCTTTTAAGGACGGTATGGGTGGCTCTGAAAAGAGCCTTTGAATTGAGGGCACCGTTGTCGCACCTCACTTTGAGCTGGTGTACTTGGTGACTGCCTTGGTGCCCTCGGACACGGCGTGCTTGGCCAGCTCCCCTGGCAGCAGCAGGCGCACGGCCGTCTGCACCTCGCGGGACGTGATGGTCGAGCGCTTGTTGTAATGCGCCAGGCGGGAGGCCTCGCTGGCGATGCGCTCAAAGATGTCGTTGACGAACGAGTTCATGATGCCCATGGCCTTGGACGAGATGCCGGTGTCCGGATGCACCTGTTTCAGCACCTTGTACACGTAGATGGAGTAGCTCTCCTTGCGGCCCCGTTTGCGTTTCTTGCCATCTTTTTTCTGCGCTTTAGTGACCGCCTTTTTTGAGCCTTTTTTGGGGGCTGGAGCCGACTTGGATGGATCAGGCATAATGTCTAGTTGCGCTGCAGAAACGCCGGCGTCCCAGTACCAAGTGTATTTGTAAGCCTTGTATTCAAATGAAGGATCAGGCATCACTCCCTTTGATTGAATACAATTTCACATTACGTCATTTCAGGGTAAGGCATATGCAAATTAGGAGGGCTTCGCGTTCTTTCCTGATTGGTTCATATTCGTATCCAATAGGAAGGCGCAGCCTAGCCTTCCTCCTGATCATATATAAGTGCTTGCTGGCGCTTACGGATTCGTTTTCGCCAGCCTTTTTTCTCTTTCGGTGTACTTTTTGTCATCAGTGGAAGATGTCTGGTCGTGGCAAACAGGGCGGCAAAGCTCGTGCAAAGGCGAAGTCTCGCTCTTCCCGGGCTGGCCTGCAGTTTCCAGTGGGCCGTGTGCACCGCCTCCTCCGTAAGGGTAATTACTCCGAGCGGGTGGGCGCTGGTGCTCCGGTGTACTTGGCGGCTGTGCTGGAATACCTGACTGCCGAGATCTTGGAGCTGGCTGGCAATGCGGCCCGCGACAATAAGAAGACACGAATTATCCCGCGCCACCTACAGTTGGCCATCCGCAACGACGAGGAGCTCAACAAGCTGCTGGGCCGCGTGACCATCGCGCAGGGCGGCGTCCTGCCCAACATCCAGGCCGTGTTGCTGCCCAAGAAGACCGAGAGCCATCACAAGGCCAAGGGCAAGTGAGGCCCCTATTGGTTGTTAGTGCAACCTTACGGACACCAAAGGCTCTTTTCAGAGCCACCCACAGCCTCATTAGAAAGTGCTGTACACTGAGCCTGTCACCAGTTACTGGCCGGGCAAGGTCTCCCGACTCTTTCCATGCATTCCTGTGCGGCGCCTGGGGAGCTCACGGGAGACCAACGGCTTCATCTGCGGGTGGCCTGCGGTCAGTTGTAAGCGTTCGAGTTTCTCCTCACCACTCCGGTGTCAGACACAAGGTTTCAGTTAACGTTCTTGTTTGGAATTTAAGGGAATACTTTATTCTGTAGAAATTAGCATAAGGTTCTGGTTGGTAGATGCTAGTGTTACTACTGAAACTGGGTAAATTAACATGTTCAAATCTTCCAAAACATGAAGTCCATTTGAATTCAGATCATAACGCCTCGGGTTTCCAAAGGTTTCTGAAGGAAGATTTGGGTATTTCAAGTCTACTTGTTTATATAAACGTGCTGTTATAAGGCGATTTACAACTTTGGAGTTTGCTGGTTTCTTTTGTGGGGGTGGGGAGCCAGTATCTAGGCTGCTTCAGCCTGCACAGTGGTAGGATTACAGATGACCATGGTGTTCCTGCAGGCATTTGGAATTGGTTAATCAGATCCACTTAAGTAGCTTAACCTTGGGGAACAAAATAATTTGTCACGTTTTGGTTAAACTATGTATGAGAGTACAGCGGAGTCACACGAAGTAAATGTTTTCAGAGACGATTGAGACTTCCATAGGCAGCGTGAAAAGTGTTGGAGTTCCAGGTAAATCAACAGGAGCATGTACGTGGGAAAGGGAGAGGAGGGGGTTAAATGCGTTACTTTTAAATCCTTTAAAATGCCACAGAATTGAGCCTCTCTTCCTTGTTAACTGCTGTACACTACTTAAATTTTAACAATACAGGCCATCAAGACAATTATATAATGTTTATTATATAATTTATATAGACTCTAACAAACAAAACTGGATCTGTTCAAGCCTGGGCTCCTCAGGCACTGTCTGTAACTACAAATCTGCTTATAAAATTTCAATGTCTTAAAAAGTCACTTGCCTAAGGATAAGCAATTTCCTTCACAGTAAGTCTCAATACAATAGTCCAAAAAACTGCATATGGATTATACATCTGCAAATGGGTGGTCTTAGTAAAACAAAGCCAGAGGGTTGGACCTCCAGAGATCATTTCCTTGTTTTTTAAGTTAGAATCTCTGGTTCTAGTTTTAGTTTGTATGTGTTCATAGGTCATTGTAGTTGCTTAAATGCTTGAATGACGGTTAAACTTTTTAGGAATTGGGTAATGTTACCATTTAAGGGTGTTATAGAGGCATTGTGGAGGGAGGTATACTAGGGTAGTTTTTCATCTCTTCTAAGGCTGCTGTCAAATGCACAACCACCACCCAAAAGGAATATTTAATTTCCATTTAGGTAAGATGTAATGTAAAGACGCAGCTCATAAATTGCCCAGGCACATGTGGCTAGTGACTAGAGAGCACAGATTCTGAATGTGTCTACAAAATTACAGAAAGTTCCAATTAGAGCAGCTGTGATCTAAGACCTGGTCACCTGGGTCATTGTCTCCAGAAATGTAAAGCACCAATAGCAACTACCTTGAAAAGAGAATGTTCACGGGATTCAAGTACCCCATGATCCATTTCTAAGTATACACCCAATAAAATGAGTATGCATATACTATAACATAAACTATACAGATGGAAGAACGGTATCACTCATAAAACCTAAAAGGCAGAGGAAACCTAAATATTCATCAGTTGACAAATAGATACACAAAGCTGTTCTCATAATGGAGCATTAGTCAATGAAGGGACTGGACAAGATGAACGAACCTCCATGTCCAGAAGAGGCGACATCAGAGACGATAGATACAGGAGCTGAAGGAGGGGAGAGAGAAAGTGCGGACCTTCCTGATGTGGTCATGGGAGAAGGCATAGGAAATGTGCTAAGTGTCCCCTCAACTGCACACATGAAAATGGCTCACCATAGCTTGTGAAGTTCACCTAGGTTTTTAAGACACTCAGTGACTAAAGGAGACAGGTGCTGGAGAGATGACTCAGTAAGTAAAGGGCTTGCCACGCAAGTCTGAAGACCTGAGCAAATCCAGAACCCAAGTAATGTAGGGCTAGGTTAGCACCTGAGTAATTCCAGTGCTTCCAAGGAAGACAGGAGAATCCCTGGAAGCTCACAAGACAACTGCTGTGGTATGGACAGCAACTAACAAGGTGGAAGTTGAGAATGATACTTGAGATTGTCCTTAGACCTTCACACATGATGACACACATGAATGCTTGCACTCCACATTCATACATGCATATGTGTGCAATGCACATTCGTACCCGGGGGCGGGGGACATGAGTGGACAAAGGAAGCCTGTAAGCACTAAGGACAGAAAGAAAACTGAGAAGCAGTCTAGTGCTTTCTTTCTAGGATAAAACTGGCCACCCACCTCAGGTAAAAGGCGAAACCCATGTCCCACAGCTGCCGTCATCAGAGACCATGTGGAAAGACAGGTGTGGCCTGATCCTCCCGCTGCAGCTCTGAGCAGGCAGGCCTTGGCAAATAACCTTGCCAGGTTTAGTCTGCATGAATGTTGTGTGGAGGTATGGAGGTCTTCCCTGGCCCACTCTCTGAACACATGACTGTATTAGAATCATTTCAACCACTCGCCATGTGTCCCTATGCACTGCTGTTTATTGGAGACAAGAAGGGAGGTTCCAGAAGAATGCAGCTTGAGACAATCTCGGAATTAACTCTGGACAGTGTCTGCAGCGTGTGGGAGTTACCTCTCTATCTCTGCAGCATCCCGTGTTCCTCTTCTGGGTTTGGGTCTTCCCTCCAGCACTTGCTTCCCACATTTAGTCTCTGTTCTGTGGGGCCATTTCTTGCAGGCTCATCCACATGGCCAATAATCTCCCACCTCAACAAAATTAAAAATAGACCTAATATACGGTCCAGCTCCCCTACTCCTGGGCATCTATCCAGATGAAATGACATCAGTATGTGGAAGAGACATACGTACTGACATGCCCATTGTGCCACTGTCGATAGCTAAGAGAACTAAACATGGTACTAACCTAAATGTCTATGAAGAAGCAGATGGAGCTCCAAAATGTACATACACAGATAACTACTACATAGGCTTAAAAAAAGAAATAAGATTTCATTTGTCACGTAGATGAACCTAGACATTTCAATGTCTCTTGGCATCACAGGATTGGTTCCAGGACCTCCTCTCTGCCCAACCCCCCCCCCCCAGCCTGGGCAGGCACCAAGATCTATGGGTACCCAGGATCCTTATATACAAAGCCATAGTATGTGTTTTAAAGTATGCCACCATGACTCTCTGTAAATAATGTAACGCAACTATAGGGTAAATAGTTGTACTAGGTTGATCAAGAATCATTATCATAAGGCTCTAGGCATGGTCAGTAGAGATAACTCTTTCAAGAGAGGCTGGAGAGCCAGGAAGGTCAACTGGAGACTCAGCAGGGATCAGCTGGAGAGTCATGGCAGCTTCTCTAGTAGGTTAATGGGGGTAGTTCAAGGAACACAGAGGCTGCACTTTTCCATACTGTCCCTCAAGCTAAGCTCTGGGGTTCAGAACAAGTGCCAGGCCAGTTGGACTCAGGCTGTGTAGATAGCCGATTTCCTAATATGATGAGTGGCAAAGCCAGATGGATGTCTAGGAGGTAGGGGTCTCAGGCCTCCTTGCTGCACATCCCAGGTCTGGCTGCTGACCACGAGGGACCCTCTTTTCTTGTGATATCACCAGAACCACGACTTCCACAAATCCACACCTCTTCCTCAAGCTGCATGTTTATAGCACCTACTGCATATTCCCCCCTGCTGAAGGCAGCCTGTTGTCCCCACTGGCATCGCATGACATTTTCCTCCCTCTCTAAACAGTTCCAGCACACTCATGATTCAATTCAAAAACAGACAAAATATACCTGTTTTAAGTATTCTTGAGTTCCTACAACAACAAAAAATATACATACAGAAGTGAGATAGTTGGATCCATTAAAATGCAACCCACAAAATAGAGAACATTTTCAAGCCATACATTTGATCAGAGAATTAATATCCAAAACAGCAAAGTCCTATAATTCAATAGCAAACAGCTCGAATTTTAAAGAGGCAAAAGGACCCCGAATAAAAATTTCTGTAAAGACACACACGATCTTAGAAATCGCTACAGTAGCTGACCAATGAGATCATAGTGAAGATTCACCTCACTCCTGTTAGGATGGCTGTCAAAAACAAAACAAAATAAAAAAAAACAAAAGTCATGCCTCCTTTCCCTTCCGGTACTCTGCATTTCTACTGCTGTCCCACTTTCTAGTTCCCGACATAATCCTACCTAGGGATAAACACTGCAATGTTGTGGCCAGCTCACAACTAGCTAACATTGACGTCAAAGAGTGCAGAGGCACATTTATGTCTGTCACTCTCACGTGTTGATTATGCCTTGCACATAGTGCTAAATATATATTTGCTAAGTTAAGTTAAAACAAAGGATTTCTTCCCTGTCTAGCCGGTGATGGAAAGAAATTGATCTCCCATAGCAAGCAGCATGGAGCTGAGAGGGCAACGTTGTCCCACTGCTGAGCTCCCCGCACCCATCTTCCACTCCTAACACTAAACCTTCATCTGATCCTTTCCCACAAGGCATAGGTGCGGATCGGATAATGAATGGGAGAAATTTAATAGAGAAAGGAAACTACAGGCTCCAGAAAGAAAAAAAGCTCCTTCCCAGATTTTGAGACGCTGCTCTGCAGTTGCATGCAGCCTTGTACGGTGCAACTTTTCTCTGGGAAGCTCAGCGCAGTCTAGTTGGAATGAAACAAGCAGAAAACCAAAAAAGGAAAGAAAAAAGAACCACTCAGATTTAAGATTATAGCAATGGCTCCCGTAGGTGCAGCGCCCAACTAGGGAACCTCCGCGGTGGCGGCTGCAGTTTGGCCTTAAGGAGGTTTGGGGTGCGGGAGTGTGGGAGTGTGGGCGCGGGGACGTAGGGAAGGTTTCCCGCGTCGCGTAAGAAAGCTTTTCCCCGTCCTCTAACGGGCGCCTCGGCCTTGGAGAAGAGACGGGCTTTGCCCTCTCCGGCTCCGGAACCTGAACTTGCTCAAGGACGTTTTCCGATTGGTCAATCCGAAAGCTCTGACTGATCCCATTGGCTGCGTGAGACGCGGGATGAAAGACTCTAAGACAGCTCCTTCCTCCTTGGCTCCCTCAGGAGTTCAAACACGGTGTGTCCCTGATGTCTCACAGGGTCCTGCTTTCCCAGAAGCAAGAGCTTCGGTTAGTTCTTTCTGAGAGTGAAGCCATTTCGCCTGTCACTATGTCTATAAGCTGACACTAGACGGTGGCGCGGGCCGGGACGCCCCAGTTCCCGGGCACCACCAATGGACGACCCATGTCCTCCGGTTGGCCTAGCGCCTACCTGCGACTGCACCGCTGGACATGGGCTCCAGATTCCCTGCTTTGGCGTTCACTTGCGTCTGTTTAAACGACACATACATGTTTAGATGCAAAACTCCATGATTGTCAGTGCGTTCTGTTTGTTTTTTTACCTAAATCGGTAAGGAGGCAACACATTTTGATTTCTATCCTTTACTAGACTCACGTTTTTGAAACTATGTGCACCTTTTTCATCCTCTGATATGGTCTAAGTAACTGTTATTGCTAATGTTTGATGCCCAGAATGTGACCTTTGGGAGATTCTTGAATACAGCCCATGTCATCCTTGAAAGTCTTTGCTTCAGAAATCATTTTTTATTTTTTTCAAATCTAAAGATGTTTGCTAAAGGGACATTTCAGTGTGCCCTAACATAGCCTCAAAATTGTTATCCTTCTGATCCAGCTACCGAGTGCTGAGGTTATAAGCATGGACCACTATCCTTTGAGTCATTTTCTTTTAGTATTTTTTATTAACGTACGTTAACTATGCTTAGTAATGGGTTTCATTTTGATAACTTCACACACACACACACACACACACACACACCAGCTCTCTCCTTTTTCCTCTTCCCTC